TGGATCTGGATCCACAGTTTTCAGGTTAGAGTTGAGTTTTGAGTCTGGTTTCATTGTTTGAGCTCTGCATGTCGGTAGGTTTGTCCACCTCTTCTTCATGGACAACTTATCTTCCTCTCTGTTTTTATTTTGAGGTTTCTTCCGGTTCGCGTGGAGAATTCCTCTGATCTTCTCAAACTCTCCCATGGTTTTCGAATTTTCTTTTTCAATTCCTTTCATAATCTGTAGTAGTTCGTTGCTATGTTCAGTGTATATTCCTTTGATTTCATCTTCCTTATCTGTAGTTTACTATGTAATGCTGTGGAGATTTTCATTGTAATCTTTTTTTATCCATACAAATCTCTTGTTTCTATTTCATTTTATCTTTGTTCTTGGTTGAACGTAACAAAATGGTATTAGAGCTCCCGATTTCAGAGTTGTGGTATCAGATTAGAACAAATGATAATTCCGGAGCAATTTTGAGAATTCTCTGGTGCTCTTCTTGTAGAACTGATTTCCCAGTTCCATTCTGCCTTTCTATTTGAGCCTTCTATTTAATAACTGTTGTAAATATTAGTTATTTATTATTATTTGTTGTATTGGGTCAAGTCCATTAGGTCAAGAATTAGGTCTTTTATTCTCTATAAATAGAGACCTTTTGTATCAGATTATTTACACAATTCAATAATATCTTATAACCCTTTTCCAAGTTGGTATCAGAGCCTCGCCGCCCCCCACTTTCTCTTGTGGAATTTCTTAGCAGAGGTAGGCTGGGCGTGTTGCATCATTCACTCTTCAAGCCCAATTGGCTCTCGTGTGAGGGGGCGTGTTGAGATATATAGTCCCATATTGGTTGTATGAGCAACTAATGGTTGCAACCCAATTTGGTAAAAAAATCAAGAGACTAAGGACAGATAATGGTACTGAATATGTCAATCACAGTTTTTCCCAATTTATACGAAATAACGGTATGATTCATGAACTTGTGTTGACACCCCTCAACAGAATGGAGTTGTTGAAAGAAAAAATCGTCACCTTCTTGAAGTGGCTCGTGCATTAATGTTTCAGATACATGTACCCAAATACTATTGGGGAGATGCTATTCTTACTGCAGCATTCTTGATCAACCGTTTACCCACTCGGGTACTTGACCATGTAAGTCCTATTCACTCTATAACTTCTTTTTTCCCTTCTATTCCAACTATGAGTCTTCCTTCACAAGTGTTTGGGTGTGTTACTTTTGTTCATGTTCATAAACATCATCGCAGTAAGTTGGACCCTACGGCTATTAAATGTGTCTTCCTTGGTTATGTTCCTGATAAGAAGGGCTACAAGTGCTATCACCCTGGTAATCGGAAATTTTTTTCTATGGATGTTACATTTCAAGAATCTGAGTCCTTTTTCCAAGGTCCTCATCTTCAAGGGGAGAATAATTCACCAGAAAACTCATCACCTTCCTTCTTTGAGTTTGAATCTTCAGTGTCTATTCCTTTACCTGTGTCAATGTCTCCTCCTCTTGTTCCTGTTCCTTCTATGTCTGATCCTCCTGTGAGTGATTCTCCTGTGACTGATCCTCCTGTGACTGATACATCAAGTACACCAGAGATACGGAAGATTGTGACTTCTGAGTTGGTATATCAAAGAAGGAAACAACCCACATTGCCTCACCAGCAACCTCAATCGTCTGAACCACTGGTAAGTCCTGAATCTCATCTTTCTGATCATGATGTTAATACTTCTGATGACTTACCCATTACTACTGCTTCTGATGATTTACCCATTGCTCTAAGAAAAAGGAAAAAGATCTTGTTCCAAGAAATCTTGTTCTTCCTGTCCCTTTTGTACTCAATATCCTATCTCCCATTTTGTTTCCTCTGCTAATCTTTTTGTGCAGCACAAAAGCTTTGTTTCAGCACTAGATTCTATTTCAATCCCAAAATCAGTACATGAAGCCTTGAAAGATGGGAATTGGGCTCAAGCCATGCAAGAGGAGATGAATGCGTTGGAGAAAAATAAAACATGGGAGGTTATTGATAGACCTAACGGAAAGAAAGCAGTAGGGTGCAGATGAGTTTATGCCCTGAAATATAATTCTGATGGAACTCTTGAGAGATACAAGGCTCGATTAGTCTTCGAAGGTTACACTCAAACCTATGGCGTTGATTATGAAGAAACCTTTGCTCCAGTTGCAAAGATGAATACGGTGAAATTCTTGTTATCCCTTGCTGCCTATTACAATTGGGATATAAATCAATTTGATGTGAAAAATGCTTTCCTCAATGGTGAGTTAGAAGAAGGAAGTCTATATGGAAATCCCGCCTGGTTTTGATTCTATAAAGGGAGAAAATAAAGTTTGTAGATTAAAAAATGCCTTGTATGGATTGAAGCAGTCACCTTGTGCCTGGTTTGGAAGGTTTACTAAGGTTATGATGACCTTAGGATACAGACAAAGACAAGGAGATCACACTATTTTCTTCAAGCACTCCCAAAATGGGAAGCTTACTGTGCTTCTTGTATATGTTGATGATATCATTATCACAGGTGGTGATTTTGTGGAGAGACACATTCTGCAAACACGGCTTGCCTCTGAGTTTGAAGTCAAAGACCTTGGGAAACTGAGATATTTCCTAGAGATAGAAGTAGCTCATTCAAGCAAAGGAATTTTTATTAGCTAGAGGAAATATGTTCTTGATCTTCTCAAAGAAGCAGGAAAGCTCGGGTGTAAACCCTCTAATACTCCTATTGAGCAGAATCACAAGATAGGCTATGAAGAGGAAAGTCCTCCAGTTGATAAAGGACAATATCAACGGCTAGTTGGGAAATTGATATATCTGGCTCATACTAGACCAGACCTAGCTTATGCTGTTAGTGTTGTCAGTCAGTTTATGCACGATCCAAAGGAGAAACACATGCAGGTAGTAGAAAGAATTCTTCAGTATCTTAAAGCTACTACTGGTAAAGGATTGTTATTCCGACGTGATGGCAATCTCTCTTTAGAAGTCTACACTGATGCTGATTATGCTAGATCCGTGACTGACCGTCGATCTACCACTGGTTATTGCATGTTTTTTTGCGGTAACTTGGTGACATGGAGAAGTAAGAAACAAGATGTGGTTGCCAGATCAAGTGCAGAAGCTGAATTTCAAGCTATGGCTCAAGGCATTTGTGAGCTACTGTGGCTGAAAATTATACTTGATGATCTCAAAATAAAATGTGAGGGACCTATGAAGCTGCTATGTGACAATAAGTCCGCTATTTGTATAGCTCATAATCCGGTTCAACATGATCGGACTAAACATATTGAGGTCGACCGCCATTTCATCAAAGAGAAACTTGATAGCGGGTTGATTACCACTCCATACATTCCCACTGGGCGTCAATTAGCTGATCTATTGACAAAGGAACTTCCTTCAGACAGATTTCAAGAACTTACTAGCAAGCTGAGAATGATAAATATCGATTCCTCAGCTTGAGGGGGAGTGTTGTAAATATTAGTTATTTATTATTATTTGTTTTATTGGGCCAAGCCCATTAGGTCAAGAATTTGGTCTTTTATTCTCTATAAATAGAGACCTCTTGTATCAGATTATTTACACAATTCAATAATATCTTATAACCCTTTTACAAGTATAACTAAAGCACTAGCTGTGTTTCCTCACTCCCACCAAATTCTAACAGATTTTTCCCTAACAGATTAGGGGATATTCTTTGCTGACTCATCCAGGTTAAATGTTCACCTGTATCACTTCCTATGATTGACTCTTACAGCAGGATTCCTATCATTACTTCCCTCCAAAACATTCATATATTGTGACATTTGAAGAATGATTATTTTATGAATCGTTCAAATTCGGTCGGTTCTCCCTGCCAGGCTGTCTGTCATGATGGTTCCTACATTAATAACTGTGTCACAGCTTTTGAGCAGTTCCACTCTTGCAACTGTACCCAAAGCTGAGTTGGTTGAGCAAACAGTTGCTGTAATTCAATTGCTACCAACCCATTTGCCACCGTGTTTGGGCTCAAATCTGGAGGCTTTTGTGGTGGCGGAGGTTTGGCTGGATTGCACAAATTCCGGACCCTTATTTCATACGTGCCAAATAGAGTATGGATAAATTGAGTGTGGTTGAGAATTCTTCCGAGATGCATGTGTATCTGGGAAGGTTTATGAGAAAATCTTTCTCACTTTGTTGCTTTGTGGCACTTTTGCCATGAAATCTGGTGACCTTTTACACCTTCAAGTGAACATAGCATATCACCAAATGTAATGTGACCTGCTGGACCGGGCTTACTACTAGCTGGGTAATAGGGACACCCCGGGTTCTTTGAGGCCCATTCCTTTTCTGCAGTGACTCGGATTTGGTCGGACCGTTATCAAATGCATGTAGCGGCCGGTAATGGCCAACCCTGAAAATGCTATATTGCTATAGCAGGTAGTGGTATAATGCAACAGTGAAGTCCTATGCATAAACTTGTTACGGCATTCGTTCATAATTAAATACATCATAATTATCATTCCAAACAAGGATCCAAGTAACATAAAGGAAGCAACAAAACTTCATTCACTTTCACTAATAGAAACATTGTTGAGATGTTATGGCACATCTTCAATTTGTTGATCTCCACACTTTCTATAACTTTCCTTCCTCCAGAAAGGCAATGAAATTGCTTGTCTCCTAGACCTTGTATGCAGCTAGGTGAAAAGTAAAGGCTCACCAGCTGCCGTTACAACTGCAATATCACCCAAAGTCAAGGTATCATCATAAAAAACATGCTCATTTTCATTATCTTCCACATCACCCATGTCTTCTACCAACCATTCATTTCTCTGATTGGTAAATGTTTATTGCTTTGGCTCCATGCCACCTATTTTAATTCCTCAGAAGTTCAAATGGTTAAGGTGAGAGTAGCTGCGGCTTGCCGCTGGGCTTCATTGTGATATTTGCAGCAGTAGTTATTGCTGATATTGAACACGTGCATTTATAGTATATTTTTGTATTATTTGCAGTTTTCATTGTCAATTATTTTTTTTGCATATAGGTATATGATGATACAACTGAAGGCAGAAAAGTCTGCACTTATTACAGACTGGATTCAATTCCTGTTGTGCTTATTATTGATCCCATCACTGGCCAAAAGATGCGCTCGTGGTGCGGAATGGTTCAACCTGAAAGCTTATTGGAAGTATGTAATACAACTTTTTAACTTACTATGGAACTTTTTCACTATGGAACTTTTTCACTATGGAACTTTTTACTTGGGAAACTGAAACATTATTCATATTAAATCTTGGACCTGGTTGTTATTTTATAGTTCTATACTGATTTGAGTCTTGTGCTTTACTTTAGGGTCTACTGGCATTCCTTGATGCAGGTCCTAAGGATCATCACATTACCTTGTCTCACAAGCGTCCTAGAGGAAGTTCTAGCCCACCTAAAACTAAAGGTTTGTTGCTAGTCTCTTTCAGTGTGCCAGTTTGTTCGGTGTCAGGATGACTTGACATTTAAGGTGTCTTTATTGTTATATATAATTGTTACTCTTTTTACTTATCAACACTCCATATAATTGATATCTTTCATCTGTTGGACATGCTTTTTTTCATTTTGTTGAGTATTGAAAATTCTGCTTTCGCTGGCTGAATTCCGTGTCCATCATATACTAATGATAAAATTATCTCTTGCATATTTTTGTCATCATCATGATCTTTTGATCCCTCACCCTTATCCTCGCAAGTCGAGAGCCTTGTGTACTGGGGTTTTCTCTTATCATGATCTTTTGATGTTACAGCTATTCTAGATTTAGGTGAAAATAAAGAAGAGGATGAGGAAGTTCAAAGAGCTCTGGCAGCTTCCATGGAAAGCATGAAAGAATCTAGTGTAATGGCTGGAAGAGATAATAAAGATGCAGATTTTGCTGTCAACTGGCAAGAAACAGCCTTGCCTAAGAGGCCTGCATATCCAACCCTGCCTGAAGAACCCAAGGCTGAAAGAAATCTCCTATGCAGAGTCGGTGTCCGGCTTCCAGATGGACGCCGGGTACAGCGTAACTTCTTTCGCACTGATCCAATTCAGGTAACACATGTTACTCTCATATACCCGTAGGAATGCATCCAATGGTATGTTATTGGTTTATGGTTTGTCTTCTGCTCAATTTAGTTATGATTTCTGAATGCCATACGTTTTTACCCTTCAGAGAACTGCTGGATATGATTCTATATCTGTTATGTTTTGATCTCGCAACACTACTCTGAAATGGTGATGGTTGTGGATTTATGTGATACTGAGTCTCGGGCCATATTTTAACTATTAAATTTATTATGCACAACCTACTTGCATAAGGATGACTTAACTATGTACTACGGTACTATTGGGAGTTACATGCATTTTAATTGACGACCATTGGGGAGTTACATGCATTTGACTGCTTTATAACCGTGTCTGTTTATACTAATGATTGGTGCATGTAGATAATCTTTGCCAGGTTGAATTTACAGGGTTATTTTCTTGTTAATTCGGAGAACAGTACTATTTATCCTGCTGAATTCACACATTTGTTACACATCACTTAGCAAGAAATTATTAATGTTTGGGGTGGGGTGTGTGGAAACCAGTATATGCAAATGTCATGTTTCTGTGACTTGAAGACCTTCATGTTGGTGCGTGGAGATTATTTTATTTATTTAACTACTCTGTACGAAGCCTATGAGCCTAGCATTGCATTGTGAAAGGGCTGGGAACATATGCTTTTTATGCAAGTTGATTTTGTATTTTTTAGTTTATTTGTTTGGTTTGGATTTTCTTAGTGACCTTTTTTCCTCTTGAAGCTGCTGTGGTCATTTATTTCTGCTCAACTAAAGGAAGATGAGACAAAGCCATTTAGATTAACACAAGCAATTCCTGGAGCGTCTAAAAATCTGGACTATGAAAGTAATTCAACCTTCGAGGAATCAGGGCTTGCCAACTCTATGATCTCTGTGACTTGGGACTAAGTTTTATTCATTACTGGGTTAAATTTTCAGACTGGAGAATTTTGGATTGGTGATTCCCATCTATATATGATCCCGTTTTCATATTTTGATGAGACTGGTTTATGTCTAAAGAAAAGGGGAAGGTTCATTGAAATATTTTTGTGTATAGATTCTAAATGATGGGTAAAATCAAGTTAATGAAAATATATCAATGTTATTACTTATTAGGTATTAGTACTATTCTCTCCCCTTGGGCTTTCTAAGCTGTGCAACTATATTGTTTTACTCGATGACAAAATGTTATTGGGAGTAGTCATTCAACTTTGTTTGCTTGTTTTTTTATTGGAAAATTAATTTTCAAATTAAAAACAGCTCTCCAAGGACCCTATCGTTAAGTGTATATGTGGATCTGGATATTCCCTCAAAGATATTTTAACTTTTAAGACACGGCCCCACTTGTGACGTAACAACTACCAAACCCCCTGATTGGGCTTTTTGCCACGTGAAAAGAATGAAGTTAAAAAGCAGATATACCTGTATTAAAAAAAAAAAGAGAAAAAAAAAGCAGATATACTTGAGGAGCACGTACAAAACCTAGTTCTACAACTATTAGTCCATCCAATACGAAGCCACCAACGAATATGCTTAAAGTATTTGGTCTTCCACCATTCGCATAGATTAAAAACCTGCATACGCAAGCAGGGGATTCAAATTCCATCACGAATCGAAAGCAAACACCTTTGCTAATAAAGAAGGACCTACCTCAAATGACAGTGACCGCTCACCGACAGTCAGCTTTGTGAGAGAACATTGGTCATTTGTTTAAAGAATAAAACAGGGGATAATATTAGAAAGTAGTTGACCTTTTTGTTTAATTGTTCAAATTACGTAAATACTGGACATAAAATAACTCCAATATAAATCTCTAATTTTTTGTTCTACACTGAATGTTACAAATTTTGTTCAAGATATAAAAAGAGAAAAATTTCAATAATCTTAATCTGAGGTTGTTATATTACCATGTAACTCAACCGTTATACTATTCTGTTTATATTTCTTTTAATACGCATCAAAATAGAAGCCGTCTCTTCTAGCGCTCCAGAAGAGGGACTATATATCATTATTAACATATATTAATACCTAATGTGTAAAAAATCTATAGATTGAAATAATGAACAAAAACAAGAGTAAACCTCGTGTATCATGTACATCCATGTGATGTGCCATAAAGGAAACGCACGTACGTGACAGATAGGGGCCCTGTAATTGTCCAAAAAGCAAATGCGGACCCACCAAAGCTGAAAGACGACACCATGCTTCGTCAAAAAAGATGATTTGAAAATTGAAAGCAATAAAAGACACTGCCAGCACCAGCACTATTTGTAAAAGTAATAATGCATTGAATCGAGTGGTCACCTTTTTTCCGTAATATTCATTCTTTTCCAGATCATTCCTGATAAGCATAGAAAAAGAAAAAAAAAAAAAAAACACACACACAATAGTCTTTTAGCTTTTATCAAAATTATTAAATTTTTTTCAAAAAAATATTTATTCATCGTGAATTTTTTAAAAAAAGGTTTAAACAAACTGTCTCTGAATACAAAGAAAAAAGAATCATATTAATTTATTTAATTTACAATATCAATTCATTTATTTTAAGAATTTAAATAAGAGAAAATATTATTTCTCTTCACACGACACACAAACTATATGATCCACACATTTTTATATTTTTATATAGGTGAGATAATTATCTCCTATAACCCTTTAAACCCTTATTTTAGTTGCATTTGTTGGTCTATTTAAGAGAAACCATTCCATTTGCATTCTGCTTCAAACACCAACTTGTTCGTCCTCCTTTCCAAAACGTAGTTTTCCTCATATATATGGCTGCTCACTCTACGCCGTGGGTTTCCACCATGTTCGTCCTGCTTCTCCTTCTAGTGGCTACCGGTGGGTTTTTCTAAATATTTAATGTCGTCATCATTTTGATTTGTTTTCATTGTGGTCTTACTCTTAAATATGAAGATGCTACCAAAGAATTAGACACTTACTTGTGTTGCTCACATAATCCACAACTTGTATATAATATTTTATCTTTCCTTTTTATATATCTCAACTTTGTGTTGTTTTGTGACTTAAAAACAGAGATGGGGCCCACAATGGTGGCAGAAGCAAGGAATTGTGAGTCTCAGAGCCATCGCTTCAAGGGAACATGTGTGAGTGACACTAACTGTGCTTCTGTTTGCCAAACTGAACACTTCACTGGAGGACATTGTCGTGGCTTCCGTCGCAGATGCTTTTGCACCAAAAAATGTTCATAAAAGGAGTGCTCTCAAAGAGATCTGAATGAAGATGATGGACTTATCACCTTCCTACTCAGTTTATATTTGAGAATAATGTAACCCATTTTATTATGGGTTTCTTTGCTTGCCTTCGTCGCGTGTATTTTGTCTCGTCATCAGATCTTTTGATCGTGTGGATGAAGAAAATAAAGGAATAATATGTCTGTCTTTCTTTAATTTACTGTTAGAGTAAGCTTTATTTCCACCCTAATATTTAGATATATATTGGGTTTATTGTCCGTCTTGTTATAGAAAATAATTTATCTTCGTTGATTTCAAAATAATTTTATTTTAGATTGAAAAAAAATTATTTGATTATAATTGTAATTTATGTAGAGGTTATACTAATTTTTATTATAATTTTTTTCTTCACAATACCAAAACGATATTTTAAAATCATTCACCAAAGAAAATAATTATATATATAATCATTATATATTCAAGTTTAATCATTAATTCATTTATATCTAATAATTACTAAACTGGCTGTATTGGTTCAATTTAATGATTCGCATAACAGTAGGTTCTTTGGGGATTAATATCATATGGTGGTGTATCAAATGTAATGAGATAAATGCATTCTACTAAGCTATTGTTATTTAAAAGAAAACATAGAATTAATTCCAGTCGTGAAATAGGTGATTAATTTATAATTTAATAATTTTATATCTTTAGTATTTAATCTCTTTTCAAATTAGTTATAGAATGTTATGAGTAGGGGTATTCGCGGTCTGGATTGAATCGGTTTTGGAAGCAAAAATCATCCGATCCAATCCTTTTGGTTTGATCATGTCATTATTCATTCGGTTTGAATTTTTTTTCAAATCCGATCCGATCCAATCCAATTTTTTTCGGTTTGGATTGGATCGATTTTCGGTTTTTTGAAAATCCTAAAATTTGTTTCATGATTATTGTGCAAATAATATCTTTTGTATATATTGGCTTTGTATTTTTTTTTAAATACAAAAGCATAAGTAAATAATAATATATATATATTTTTGGACAATGAGATATGAAGCTATACATAGATGAAATTTTGTTGATGAGATGTGATTAGATTTTTTCTTGGGTTTAGTTAATGGGTCTTAGGTTTAGAAATTTGTGGACTATGATTGGGAAAAGACCCAAGTAGGTAGAGAGAAATTAATATATTGGACCGGTTTGGATTAGATCGGTTTTCATCTACCAATCCGAAAATCGATCCAATGCAATTAAAATTTGCGGATTTTTTTTTATTTTCGATATTTCAATTTTCGATTTATTCGATTATTGGTTTTTCGATTCAATTACCGCGGTTTGAATCAGTTTGGATCGGTTGACGAAATATCCCTACTTATGAGATGGACCAAGTTTAGATATATTTCATTTCGCTATTGTGATTCTAAAATTTTATATTCATAAGAAGAAGTAAGAACATCAATACAAATTAAATACATTTAAGATCGCAATAATTTGATTGTACGAATGGAATATGAACAAACCCGCTACACCTCTTACATTGTCTCACATCTTACATCGTCCTGTCTAGGGGTTGTCTAGGGGTGTAAATGGGCCAGACTGGCCCAGCCCGGCCTACATTGAGTCCGGCCTAGGCCCGACCTTTCAGAAAAGTAGAGTAGACTTAGGTTTATAAATTTTTTTTTAACAAATAAGTCATAGGCCAATTTTGTCAAGCCCGGCCTACAGCCTTGTAGGCTGGCCTATTTAATTTATTAAAATAAAATAATATTTATTTTATGTGGCAAAGACGCAAAGTACCAAATACCAATATCTCTTACTTTTTGTGCTATTTTATTTTATGAAAGGAAAACTTGTCTAATGTCTCCAAATTTTACATGTTGTTGCAGCTTAATACCATGGAGCAATGGGTATCTTTGTATTTTTCTTATTTTTCTCATTTCTTTGACTTTATTCCTCTATATGATATACATTCTAGAGCTGGGGTATTATGTTGACTCTTTCTTGTTTGTCATTTTTTTCTTATGAGAAGTACTAGTGCATGCATGAATGAAACTTTCTTTGCTCTATACAATTATTTTTTTTGCTTAGTATCTACAGTGGAAGGCCTAAAATGAAAGTAAAATGACCTTGAAGGTCGAGGCATGTGATAGGGAAAAACAAAAATTTTCGCTAGCGGAACACACATGCATATCAAGATACGTGCTTTAAGACGTATATTATACCTTGTTCGTAAAACTTCAGGATGATCAAGGTCAGGTCTGAAGGGTTCAAACCCTCTAACGTTGATCCACACCACCCGCGTCTAGATGCAAGAACTCCTTCTTGTAGAACCACCAATTGATCACCACAATGAGGCTTGCTATGCGCTCAATGTATGAAAGAGGAGGCTAGGCAAATGTGTTTAGAAGAGTGATGTTTTCAGAGAGAAAACCTCACAAAGTGGCGCATGGAAGGAGGAGAGAATGGCTAGGTTTTTTTCACTTTTTTTTAAAACCCTAAGGAGGAACTGTTAGTATATGGATGTCCTAGAGACAATCTTTTGATTAGATTAGGATATATGTAGACCTTTTATATTGTCGCAAATAAAAGCACTATTTATCCTGTTTCATATTTTGTCTCAATATTACTATTAATATTTATATGAGTAACTGGATAAACCCCTTGGAATAAAATATGTATCTTTTGAGTATCTGTGATGAGATCACGATCATGAGAATTCAAGGATACTGCATGTTTATTCCTAATTTTATGTTCCTAGTCTAGAGACACTGAGAATGAGGATCAGTGATCTCGGGTAAGACTAGCACGACTTATCTACTTGTATTTGGATGCAAGGTAAAGACCTCATGAGCTACAGATATGGAGATGTCTTAGCTAAAGTCGTGGGTGGACCTATAAAGGTATAGCTCGCACTGAACAGACCCACAAAGAGACTCTATGAGGAACTCTCACAGAGAGTATCATTAGAGTAGTCTCTTTATATTTGGGTATGTCTTTCCTAATACCAGAAGCTATTACCTAGACTGTGTTCTAGAAGGCATGCTTTGATTGTGCACCTCGTCTGCCTGAAACATGGAGACTCATAGGTATACTGTTGGGCTTGTCCTGAAAGAACATAGGGCTAGGGTGATAAGCTGAAGGAATTCGTCAAATCTCTGTGAGAGATTAGGTTATCTGTAAACCGGAGAAATCGGGATGACATTTACAGGGACTCGAGAATCTATGCATAGTAAAAGAGATCATGAGATGATCTGCCTTTAGAGTCTGTAAATTGAAGATTCCCTATTTCGAATAAATACCCTAAACCGCAGGGGTTGATACGCTTCCTTACCCTAGGTTTTATGGGAAGGTAACCGAGACGAAAGGAAATATATACGGCAACCAAATATGTGTAATAGGATGATCAAGTCATTAATCTATCTAGTTCTGAGGCAACAAAGCATTGCTAGTGCTCTGTGTTGTCATTAGATGGGTTGTGGGCTTATTGGGCCCAAGCCCATTTATGTCAGTGGCTATGTTGGACCTAATGGGTCACACACTAACACCTAATTGTCTAGATGCTCTAGCATTAAAGGTATTGGGCCTAACAATTGTTATTAGCCCAAGAAGTAGTTTGGAACTCCACAGATAGGGTGGAGGGCGCATAGATCAAAGTAATGGGCTTGGATAGTCCAAGACATTACTAATTAATTTAATTAGTTAAATTAATTATCAAATGTTTAAATTTTGAATTTTGAATTTGAAATTTGAAATTTGAAATTTGAATTTGAATTTGAATTTTGAAATTTGAATTTTGAATTTTGAATTTGAAAATTGAAAATTGAATTTTAAATTTTGAAATTTTAAATTTGAATTTGAATTTTGAAATTGAAATTGAATTTAAAATTTAAGTGTTTGAAAGTTTGAATTCAAATGTTTGAAATTCGAATTTGAATTGGCTATGAAAAGTTGTTTCATAACAAAAGGATAAGATGAGATCTTGTTGGAACATATCAGAAGGAGATCTTTTGGACATAATCCAAGGATAATGGGGCGCTGATTTTGGCTAGATTTGATCATCAAATTCAGCTCCAGAAGATACGGTCTGTTGGGAGAATATTTGAGTGAGTTGATTTAAGTTTGAAATGCAACTGACTCAAATGTATCTGGTCACCTTTTAGGCTATATGGGGCGCACCATATAGCTGATTATATGATGATTCATGATCAGATTTCTGACTAGGTTTTGAACTTAGTCTCATGAGAATATTCTGGGATGTTGTTGGCAATTTTTGAAATGCAACAACTCCACTTATTCTCTCCCCATAGGGCGCCACTTTGATCAGATTTTTGGGAGAAAAATATGATTTGTTTTTGAAACTTAAAAGGCTCTTCTTGTGTGCTTAATGTGTAGTTAGTTCCTCCTTAGGTTTTTGTGAAAAACCAAGCCTTTCTCTACTTATCTATGCGCACCCTTGTGAGGTTTTCTCTTAGAACACTTCACTCTTCTAAACAATTTTACCTAGCCTCCTGCATCACACACTGAGCGCATAGCAAGCCTTATTGTGGTGATCAATCGGCGGCCTTACTGGAAGGAGTTCCTGTATCTAGACACGGGTGGTGTGGATCAACGTTAGAGGGTCTGAACCCTTCAGACATACCTTGATCATCTTGAGTTTTCACGAACAAGGTATGACATACGTTTTAAAGTATGTATCTTGATATGCATGTGCGTTCCGCTTGCGAAAATTTTTGTTTTTCCCTCACGCATGTTTCGGCCTTCAAGGCCAATTCTACTTTATAGTGGTATCAGAGCCCGGTTACTTTACCATAAACGGGTGATGGTACCTTGTTTGTGAACCTGTTTTTCACGGTTAAAATTTCTTTAAAGAGTTAAAGATTCAATTTTTATGTATGGATTTTAATTTACAATACTTTAAACGATTAAAGTTTTGTTTTTGTTTTTTTATGAACATCTTAATTTGATTGCTGTGTTCATATATCCATATGTATTCATGGTTATCATTCTTTTCTTTATGAAAGTTTTAAAAGGAAACACCTTTTTGAAAGGTGGAGTTCAACCATGAAAGGTGTTTTGAACACCTTGATTGTTTTCTTATTTTTCATGAATTGTTTCATGAGCAAAGCATGTAATAAAATTTTTCGAAAATTAATCTTATATACATTAGTATATGGTTCGGCCATCAAGTGTAGATGGCTACATGCATGGTTTAAATT